AGTTTAGCTGTGTATAAATGTTGGTTTCCCCTTTTTGCACATGTTAGAACTTTATGTAAGATATAACTATACTTATATAAATTAGTATGAATGTGGGGAAAAAATTGTACACATTATCTTTATTCCAGGGCTTTAAACTACCATTAATTCAGTATTATGGGTAGAATTTTTTTAAATATGGAATCATATAAAAATTTTCCACAGTGGGACTGTGAAGCCAGTGACACTTACTATTATAAGTGAATAAAACTGTGGAAAATGAAGCTGTGTTATCAATGAAGTAGTTTTGGTGCAGCGTACTAGTTAATATTACTACACAGTAGATATTAAAAGATTTTTATAAGCCAGGCACAGTGGCTTAAGCCTGTAATCCAAGCACTTTGGGACTTTGGGAGGCTGAGGTGAGAGGATCTCTTGTGGCCAAGAGTTCGAGACCAGCCCAGGCAACATAGTGAGATGCTTGTCTCTATAGAAAGTTTAAAAAAAAACTTGGCATGGTAGCACATACCTACAATCCGAGCTGCTTGGGAGAGACTGAGGCAAGAGGATTGCTTGAGCTCAGGAATTCCAGGGTGTAGTGAGCTATGATCATGGTGAAACACTATCTCAAAAAAAAAAAAAGATTTTTATAAATAAAAGACCTTAGAGGATGATAGATTTATAATCTTTCATACAGTGTTAAACTGTATTTTTTCCTTAATTTTTAGATTTTATTCATCACATTAATGACACAGACACTGTGCTGAGTACCAATAATAGCAACCCTGGTAAGTAGTTTGGAATTTCATTTGTTTCCTTATTCCCCACTTTGCTCCAAAAAGGATTTAAGGTAGAACTTACAACCTTATTTTAGGTAAATGAGTAACATGAAATTATTATGTTTACTGAGCTGCTACTAAATTGTTGGTAATCAGTGTGTTAGAAAACTCCAAAAATGGTTGTGTTAATGTGAGCTACTCAACATTTAATTCATATTATACAACTCACAATTTTAACTATAGTATCCATAAGTGCCTGTGAATAATCAGTGAATATCTTGAAGGACCTGTATCACTGCTAATTATACTAGATGTCTAGAAGTTCTCAGTTTGTTAACTTAGTTTTAGAAATTTATTGTTTTAGTTACTAATATGTAGGCTACACAAATTTGTAACCTACAAAATAATTAATTTCCTAATAATGAACAGAGGTTAGTAAGTAAATATGGGAAAATAAATTGAAGCTTTGCCTCTAAGAAAAATCTGATTTCTTAGAAAAGTATCCTTCAATTTATTTGTTAAAAATAAATCCTTGTGGCTGATGCATTTAATCTAATATGGCAGTCATAGGGAAAGTGAATATAAAACCTAATGTAACCTTGTTAACAATATACTGTTAACCTTGAACATGACCTAAAGCTTTTATGTATTTGGGTTGCAGAGATACTAAATTGATGTGCTTTTGATAGAGGTATACATTGATCACTAAGAGGACAATTCATTTAACACATTTATTAAGCCTATTATGTGTCAGGAGAACTATTCTAGGCTTTCGGGCTGTAATAATGTACAGACAAAAGTCCCTCCTGTCATGAAGTATACATTCCAGTGTTTGCTATTCAGTGTCTTACTTTGCCCCTTAATTAAACCTGTCTTTTGTTAACACTAGAAAATGAGTGAAATACCAGCTTTTATTTCTGTAGATACACACACACACCTTTGAATTATTATGCTAAAATCTCTTGCATCCTGTCCTTTACCTCAGAATTTTTAAAGGACCAGATAACATCCTTGTCTTAAAAGAGAAAATTATTTTACTTTAGCTGTTCTGATATTAATTGATGGAACTAGTTTACTAATATCTAATAGGATTTCTCCTCCAATAGGAAGTCAGTTTATCATTAAGGTTGTAAATATCACAATTACATTTAGATGATTTGGAGAGTACCATCAACAAAGTCAGTTTACTTTGCATAGCCAGCACTTCTTGATTTCTCTGATAATGTTTATTTTGAACAGTGTGGTAAGTAGATTGTGAAACAATCCATTTCAATTAATGTAAAAAATTACAACTAACCCCAAAGGCAATCACAGCAACAACCAAAATAAATAAATGGGACCTGATCAAATTGAGGAGCTTCTGCACAGCCAAAGAAACGGTCACAAGAGCAAACAGACAACCTACAGAATGGGAGAAAATTTTTACATGCTACAAATCCGATAAAGGGCTGATAACCAGAATCTACTTAGAACTCGGGAAAATCGACAAGAAAAAATCAAACGACCCTATCAAAAAGTGGGAAAAG